TGAGTGTGTGAACAGCAGAGTTGGACACAGTGACGGGAAGAGAGTTTTATAGGAGCTGAAGCGCCATAGCCTGTGGAAGCGAGCAAGTATCTGAACTGTGTTTCCGACTTCCATATCTCTGAGCTTTGAGTGGGCGTTGAGCGTCAGTGTGGCTTGCCATCTGTTTGTGTGACTGCGAAGTGTGAAAGAGAGCGAGTCTGATTGCATCAGCTATAAGAAGAAAGAATTAAAAAAGAGTTGAAAGAAAAGATGGAAAAAGAATTGCAGGAAGAATTAAAAACGATAGAGGAAGAAGATGAACCTGCGGATGACGCGGACAGACTCATCAGACGTCGAACTGAAAGGGGCGAAAGCAGTCAGACAGGTGGGTTGAATATTCAGTCTAGTCCCTTAAATTGGTATGACCAATATAGTTGTACTAGTGAAAGAATTGAAGAGATGGAGGAAGAACGGGACACGTTCATCGTAAAATTGGCATCAATTGAAGACAAAGGAGAAAAGGAACTCTTGCAGGAAGAAAAACGAACAGAATTGCACAGCAAAATGTTAGTTGCAAAGCAACAAGAGCTGGAAGAGAGGAAAAAACTACAGGCAGAGGGTGAAAGGTTGCAAAGAGAATTACGAGCGCAAAAAGAAAAGCAAACAGCGACTGAAGAACAACTTGCCCTCTTGGCAGAAACTGTTCTTCATACAAAGCAAGAGTTGGCAGCGATGAGCAAGACCTTGCAGAAAGTTGAAGCCCATCAGTATGAATTCGAGGGAGTCTGGAATACCTTCCTGCAGAGATCTGAAGCAGAAGTTAATCAACATGTACAAGCATTCATAGTAAAACTAGATTAGAAGATCAGTAAAACTTTAACACCTGCCGTGATTGAGAAATTGGTAAGTAGCGATGGAGGAGATGGAGATGGAAATGGTGATGGAGACAGAGATAGGAAGAAGAAGGGTGTGCTGCAAAAAAACGTAGGGGAAGTCAAAAAGATAAAAGTCAAAGTGTCGTTGACATATACCGGCAAAAAGGAAGAAAGTGTCTTGCACTTGATTGCAGCGGTTGAGTCCTATGTGTACGGGCAACGTATTCCGTATTGGGACAGGGTTCTCATGGCCAGTTCATGTATGGCCGGAGATGCAATGAGTTTTGCAATTTCCTTGCAAAAAGAAGCTAATTGTCAGTCTATGGTAGAATATTCCCAGCAAACCCATATTGAAGATTTCTTTAAAGCGGTTCAGAAACGATTTGAAGATAAAAACTTAGCTCGGAAAACTAAAATGTTAATTCTGAATATCGCAGATAGGAAATGGAAAAGTGTATCCACACTTAAATCTACCATGGACGAACTTCTACAATGCGCTGAACATGGACTCACTCCGACGCAAATTCTTAATAACTTTGCAAGAGCACTACCCGATCCACTCCGTACTCAATTAGATCCCTGTACTAAAGAAGAGGGGATGACTTACGAGCAATTCAACAAGATCGCATTAGATCATGCCGGTTTTTTGGCGGAAGCAAAGTACTGCCACTATTGGAAAGATCTGCAAGCCGGCAAGAAATGGCAAAATTGTACCATCTCAGGAAATATTCTTGGGAAAGACAACCTTCTTCTGACCTTTGAAGAAGGAGGTGTTGAAACTTTCTCCTACGACCACATAGACGATGGTCTGGAGGGAGATGCACACAACGGATCGGTAGTTCAGGAGGGGGACTACGCGGCCGTTGCAGCCTGCGGGGGAGGGCGACAAGGAAGAGGCCATGGTAGAGGAAGAGGAGGCCGCGGTCGTGGAGGAAGAGGACCCGTCACCCAGAGGGGTGGTGGCGAAGGAAGCTACTACGTGGGAGGAAGGGCAATGGTCCCTCGCAAGGTGGCCGAGGTTCCAACTCCACATGGGGTAGAGGAAGAGGCACGTGGTATGGGAACTGGGACAAACCATATCCACCCCATCCTGGCTTGCCCGAAGGCAGACCTTGGGAAAAGCTAGGGATTACAGAAAAAGTTTGGCAAGATAGAAAAGTCGCCGATCAGTACCTCAAATGTGGTGACCCCAACCACATTGTTCCCTTCTGCCCAGATTATAAACAACCAAAAGGGAACAGCCAGTAGGGGTTTTAGTTGCCTCTATAGGAACTTCGGATGCAAGCAAACTGACATGCTCCCATCCGAAGGTTATAGTGGCAGAAACTGGAGAAATAAACGATTCTCCACCTAGTCAGTTGTCCAGAGGTAGTTAGTGTATGTACCTCTCTAGGTGGATCCCTCGCAAGCATAGGTGATGAGTTGGCCACTCGTTGCAAAGCCTGGGTCGAAATGAAAAAACGGAAAGGGCAGCTAATTATCGCAGATCTAGAAGTCAATAAAGTAAGAGTAGGCGGTATGATTGACAGCGGGTCAACAGGCAGCTATACTAGTAAGAAAGGTCTGCAAAAGTTGCGTCTTGGGCTAAAGGTAAAACAGTTGGAAGAGCCCGTAGTAAGTAAATTAGCGAATAGTAGCGAGATTGTAATGGATAGATATGTTGAGGAGATTCAGACATACTTGCGGCTCGAAGCAGAGGGGAAGGTGGAACGCGTTCTCCACTCTTTGACTCTCTTGGTGGAAGACAGTCTCCCTTTTAACATTCTCTTAGGTACAGATTGGGGGGAAGCTGCGGATGCGGATGTGAAGTTAAGGGACCATGAGTGTTGGCTCCCTAGTCCGCAAGGTGGAAAGAAGAAAATCCGCCTATTTCATGAATCCGGTAAGGAAAGCAGCTTAGCTCATTGTTGTATTAGTGCCCCCGCGTTCGCACACCATGTAAAGAAGTATAATCTATATGATCAAGTGTTTGTGGCATATGTGCGCCCAGTTAAAGAAGGTGAAGATAAGGAGGAGGCAAAGTCCCCAGAAGTTGGAAAAATTCTGAAAGAATTCACAGATGTGGCAGAGGCACCAACCGGTGTCGTAGAACGACCCATAAAAATCGCATTGAGATTATACCCGGAAGTCAAATTCCTAAGGGCCCAATCTACAGGATGTCACCCAAAGAGTTGGATGAACTGTGAACCCAGCTAGACGAATTGATGGAAAAGGGATGGATAAGATCTAGCTCCTCACCCTATGGTGCGCCAGTATTATTTGTGCCAAAGAAAGATGGTGGGGTTCGCATGTGCATATACTATAGAAGATTGAACGATATAACAGTTAAAAATGTTGAGCCATTACCCTGAATTGATGATTTGCTGAATAGGGTACAAGGTAGCTGGTACTTCACGAAAATTGACTTGAGTCTGGCTACCATCAGATTGAGGTAGAACCAGACGACCAATATAAGACTGTCTTTCGTACAAGGTATGGGCACTATGAGTTCATTGTGTTGCCTTTTCGGTCTTACTAATGCACCTGCAACTTTCCACCGGACGATGAATGAACTTTTTCGTGAATGGCTTGATAAATTCTTTGTTATATATCTAGATGATATTTGGATTTTTAGTAAAAGTCTAAGTGAGCATTGTGAGCACCTTCGACTTGTGCTAAATAAGTTGCATGAGGCAAACCTGAAACTCAACCCGAAGAAGTGTGAGTGGGCAAAGCGTCAGATATTATATTTGGGGCATGTTATAGACGGAGATGGAATTAAACCGGAAGACGCAAAGATTGCAGCTACTCGGGATTGGCCCAACCCGCGTACATTGACGGAACTACGGCCGTTCCTTGGGTTTTTTACGCAAAGATTGCAGCTAATTACTACCGTAAGACGCAAAGATTGCATCTAATTACTACCGTAAGTTCGTACAACATTTTACGATAATTGTTGCTCCCCTTCGCAGATTGCTGAAAAAGGAAACTATTTGGAAGTGGGACCAAGATTGCCTGTCCTAAAGCGTCTTAAGAAATGTTTGATTAACTATCCGGTTTTAAAAGTTGTTGATCCTTTTTTGCCCTTTGTTGTTACTACCTACGCCAGTCAGTACGGGATAGGTGTTGTACTCCAACAAGATGACGGGAATGGATACAGTTCTGTCGAATTTTTGTCCTGACAACTGCCTAGTGAGAAATTGTGTGTCCGAAAATGGATTCAACGCGGGCTCCGCGTTGAAAAATTGAACACGCGTTGAATTCTCGTTCAATTCCCGTTCAAACGCGCGTTGGACGCGAATGAACGGGGCCCGCGAACCCTAGTTCCACGCGTTTGGGGGGGGGTGGGTCGGGTGTTCGGAAGGTGTGGGGTGGTAGTGTTCGTTGTCGGGTACCACCCCATGCATTCATTTAAAAAAAAATAATAATAATAATAAAAAATCCACGTGAACCCCTTTGCGTCGTGCAGGGCGTTCGCGGGGTACCGGCCTTCGGCGGTCTGCTGGGGGGGGGGGGGGCGCAGGGGGAACGGTCCGAACGGGTACTAAAGAACGCCGTTGCGTTGGCCGCACCTCATTTGCCGCGAGAGCCATAATGCTCCAACGCGACAAACGACTCCCCCCTGCATCGAACGAGCGGAAGAGAGAGAGAGAGAGAAGATCGCCATAGCGCGCGCGAGAGAGTGAGAAAGAGAGAGAGGGAGAGAAAGATCCATAGCGGGCGCACGCGCGCGCGCGCGAGAGAGAGAGAGAGAGGGAGGGAGCGACGGCTGGAGCGAAGCAGGAGCGGCAGCAGAGTGGGAGCGCGCGTGCGGCGGCGACGACAACGGCGGATCTGCACATCGACAGGCGATGGCATTTGACGCCGGTGAATTTTTAATTCAACGGCGTTAAACGCGATTGAACGCATTTCAACGCGACTAAACGCAATTAAACGCGATTAAACGCGATTGAACGCGGGCGTTTGGCGGCCGGTTCGCGAGGGACGGCGGCATCAGGGGCGTGCGGGTCGAGGTCGGGGGGGGAAGGGAAGGGGGGTTGGTGGGTGGGAGGCAGACCACAGGTGCTAGAGGCGGGAGGAGGTTGTGTAGGGAGGGGTTGGAGGGGTCGACGACGACAACAGGGCTCCGGGTTGCCGATTAAGAGCAGGGTCAAGGAGACTCGCAATGCGTAGGGCACAGCGGCGCCAGCATGAGCCTGCTTCGCAGGAGGTGCAGGATGCGTTAAGGGGAGGGTCCCCTTGTCGTCGGCCAAAAGGTCGACCAAAAGGGGGTGATGATGCTGTGTTGCACATTTTGCAACAAAGTTTTCCAGGGGACTCTATTCCAGGCAATGAGGCACTTCGTCCAGACCAATTACTGCAAGGACGTCAGCGACGAGGTCTTGTACCAGATCGGGAAACGGACTCAACAAAAGTTCATGTCCGACCAGATGGAGAGGGTTTCCCGTTACGCAGCGGAGCGGGGACTTGATGTGCCCTGGGCCGATGGTGCGACGGGAGGACAGGCGGTGCAGCGTCCACGTGAGGTGGGGGGGGGAGGGGGAGATGGCTGGCATGGTGAGCCCGACCAGCCAGCGGGGTGTGGAGGCGGTGACATCGACGAGGGCGTGATGATCATCGATCGCGAGGCACGAGGCACGTCTCGGGAGCGGGACACGAGGACATGCCAGAGTTCGATCCATTGACGGGGGAGAGGATCGTGGACTGGCAGCGACGAGGGGGCAAGGGGCAAGTGCCTCCAACGCAGGGTGACGCGGGGGAGGGTTCCTCCAAGAGGAAGGACGGAGGAGCTGTTCTGGCTGCCACCCAAGACGGAAAGATGCTGAGATGACAAAAGGTGGATGAGGTGTATGGTGGTGAGTGGGTTGCTCGCCACAAGAAGGCCTTCCTTCGCTGGCTTTATTCCAGCGGGGTTTCCTTCAACGCCTTTCACAACGAGGCATGGAGGGCATACCAGCAGGTAATTCTTCAGCAGCCTGGCAGTTCGCCGCGCGCTGTGCTTCCCAGCCACAGCGAGATTGCGAGCATGCAGGCGGTGGAGACCCACTGTGCGGAGTTGGCTGAGGAGTTGGAGGGGGTGAGGTTCTGGGTGACTGGTGCCACCATCCTCTCAGACGGGAGGAAATCACGAGACGGGAGACCGATCGTGAATTTCCTCGCCGCAGGGTCTCTAGGGGTCGTCATGTACACAACGATGAATCGAGAGGGGGAGCCGGACGATGTTGAGCATGTCCTTCTGAGATGGGTCCAGGTTTTTCACGAGTTCAGGTTCGGCGGACTGCAGCGGGTCAATGCGATATGCACTGACTCCGCTTCAGCGTACGTCGGGGCTGCCAGGGCTCTGGCGTCGGGGACCATGCCTCTTGCATTGAGGAGGATCACTTGGCTCCCATGCTCAGTCCATGTCTGCAACAAATTGTTGTCAGACATGGGGACGTGTTGTGACGCATTCATTGATACTATCACACTCGCTCGTGTGCTGGTGGTGTTTTTCAAAACCCACCAGGCGGCCCTTCATTTTTTTAGGAAGCGCAGCCCCAACATGGGGCTTGTTCTTTCATGTGAGACGTGGTTCGCATCTGTGTACTCCATGTTGGAGAGGCTCCTGGCCCTGCAGGACACTTTGCAAGGCATGATGCGAGGGGAGGACTCACGGGGTTTTGCCTCTATCCCGTGGTCCGCCGATGTTTGCTACATGGCGCGTTGGGTGCGCCGACAAATAAGATGGGATCCTTGGTGGCAGAGGGTGGCCACCATCGTCCATATCATGGAGCCTGTGATGCAGTTGCTCCGGCGGATGGATCGTGGGGGGCAGTTCATGTCACTCATGCTCGAGTGGGCGCAGGATCTTGTGCAGCGGGTGAAGGAGGCATGCGCTCCTTTGGGGTCCTCATACGCAGACCGCATCATCAGGCGTGTGCAGGCCCGTGCAGCCAGCTCACTGCGCTGGGTTCTTACTGAACCCCCGCAGGCGACATGTTCACTACTTTTTCGGCGAGGTGTCGGAGTACCATGCTTCGCTTGTGAGGCAAGCCAAGAGGTACATCCTGACGCAGACGAGTTTCGAGTTGGATGGTCCGGAGTATCTCCTTGCCTGGCACCAATTCAAGGACTTCCAACATGCAGCAGGGCGTGTTTGGTGATTGGGGCGGGGTGGAGGGGCGTGCTCGTTGGCGCGCGTGTAGCGGTGACACTGAGACGATCGCGTCCGCGTCTTGGTGGTCCCAGTACGGGGCTAGGGCGCCTGAGTTGCCGCGGTGCGCTCTTCGTGTGATGCACATGTGGTCCTGCGCCTCTCCAGCGGAGAGGAACTGGGCAGTCCACGAGGGCATCCACACGAAGACGTGCTTGCATTTTCCATTCGTACCCCAGGGACGATGACTCAAATGAGGAGCGTGCACCCGATGGAGTAGATGACCCTGCGCTCCCCATCCCTCGTGAGATTGACGAGACGCACGAGGAGGCCGATCACGCCAAGGTGAGGACGTACGCAACGCGACGGAGTGCCTGCCGGGCAAAGAGGGAGATGATGGGGGGGGACGAGGATTTTTGGGGCCCTTTCGGGGAGGTGGCTTTCACGGGTGATGTGCGTGATGACAGAGGCGGGGCCTCTCATGCCGACACGAGCTACACAGAGGCGAGGAGGCTGACTCCTACTCCTTCGAGGCGAGAGTCGCCCATTCCATCACCTCCTGCGCCCAATCCTGCACCACCCACCCCCGTCTCGCCTGTTCAGCCGGCCAGTACACAGCCGGAGACGGAGGAGTTGGCATCCTCCTTGCCTCCGCACGGACTGCTCCAGAGATTGACGGTGGTCCGACAGCTCAGGTTACGATCACCTTCCCCAGGGGTCTTGCAGGAGGAGGGGGAGGTGGCAGCAGCGGAGCAGGAGGCACCAGCAGTCGGGACAACGGAGGAGGAGGTGTCAGTACAGGCGACGGCTGAGGAGGAGGTAGCGGCAGCGCAGTGGAGATGGAGGAGTAGGTAGTTGGGGAGGGGGACATAGCAGCAGCAGTGGAGAGGGAAGAGGAGGTACCGGCAGCGACGACATTGGCATCCATTCCTATGGATCATGATGGTGCGGATGCTAAGGACCACCTCGTGCAGCGCTGCATCGCGGAGGAGGTCAATCCAATCGTGGGGGTTTGACCCCGGGTGTGGCGATGGAGCTGGGGATTTCTCCTCCGACAGGGGGGGCGGGGTCAGAGATGGGGACGCACTTCGACTTCGACATGTCGATGGGGCTCCACCTAGTTGTGGCGGGGCGACATCGACGGATCGGGCACCGTCACAGCACGACGCAGCAGGCCAGACGGGGACGCAGACCCCGAGAGACAGGACGGAGGCAGCGTCCCCGGACACAGCATGCGACATCATGGAGCGAGAGAGGGCTCGACTTATGGCATCGAGTAACCCACACGCTCAGGCGTTTGCATAGGCCTTGGAGGAGGCGAGGCGTCGAGAGACAGGGGAGGTTGTTGTGCAGGGTGGGGTGGTGGCGAGGGAGGACGTTATGGAGGGAGCGAGAGCAGAGGCGGACGATGAGGCTATGCAGGGTGGTCCAGAGGCAGTGGATGTTCCTGTGGAGGGCGGGCCACAGGCGGTGGATGAGGCAGTGCATGCAGGATAGGGGCGAGGCGAGGGGGCTGGAGACGCACGGGCCATGGTTCAGGAGACGGCGACGGGTCCAGTCGTTCCGTTTTCCGGCCTGCACTTGGCCGAGGGCCGACGGTCGCAGCCGGTTCAGGTGGCAGTGCATGGCTTGCCACCGCCCGTTATCACGGATTTGGGGTCCGAGCCGACGGTTCAGCCTCCACGTCCTCGTAGTCACTTCGCTCCGCAGGAGGTTCGACGACCTTTAGATGCAGTGAAGTTGGCGAGCGATGTTACTCGTTTGGACCGGGGGATCTTCGACCGGAGAATCGAGCATCCACCGTGGCAGGCGATCCCTTCGGTTGCATGGGGTCTTGCGCGGGAAGGGGAAGAGGGGTCGGTGACCGTGAGGCCAGCACTCAACTTTTCCCCTACTTGCACTCTGCTTCATCATGACGTGCGCTGCTGTTTTTTTTGTCGTGTCGTCTCGTCTTAGTATTGTACTATTGTTAGATACTCAGCGGTAGTGTGCGTGTTGTAGTTGTTTTCTTCGTTTCGGGGTGTCTTATTTTGGTACCATTAGGGCGTTCGTAGAGTAGTGTTGGTTGCAGTAGACTGAGTGCCGCATTTCGGCAGCTACGACGTGACTTGTAGACTATTGTTATTTGTATTTTTTTCGACATGAGGTACCAGTGCCGTAGCAGTAGGATACATTGTATTATGTAACATTTCTCATGTGTGATTTCAATGATAGGTACTTCACGTCGTTGACGACTTTTCATGTCCATTACATTTTCCATGTACATTTTCAGTTACGAGTGATGCACGTCGTGTGCACGACATTTTGCCCATTTCTGTCAGATGTGTAAATTTATATATTTAATTGTTGTTTTCATTTTCAATCTCATTTCTTGCGTTTCTTTCTTTGTTTTTTATTTTTTTTGCTTGAAGAGATGGGTAACTTGGGTTGTTGTTTTCTTTTTGTTTCTGTGTTAATTGTTGAATTTCTTTACAATGACTGAAATACTAA